GTGAAATCAATGGGGCTGAAAGTGCTCAGCATGCTGGAAAATGAGGTGTCACGCAAAAGAGGAGGCCACTTGGGAAAGTCTGGTCTTGGATGATTTAAGGAGAAAAGAATGTTCCCGGAACTAAGCATGATATGTAGGTGATGGGAGTAAGAAAATGAAAGGGTAACAGAAGGCTATCATGAGAAAAGGAACAGATTCCAGCCATGGGAACTTTAAACCTTTAAATCCATGGCTTGGAAGCCACTGGAATAATAGTCAAGCAAAATTTTAAACAGATGAGATTGAAAACAATGTCTGCTTTTTTGGCTATAATGTTCGGAAATTATACACTTCTAACCTACTGTGGAGGGGTTTCCAGAACAGAGAAACCTCACAGGATTAAGAGGCTTACACTACATCAGGCAATTTAAACAAAGAATATTGAACTGTTCTGTTTACAGTAAAATGGTATCTTGAACTTTATTTAAAAGTAATTTTTGCCCATAAAATTTGGTGATGGCGGTGTGTTGTGTTGTTTGTTTTGTTTTGTTTTGGTCTCTTGGCTTCCAAGCTTTTCTAAATGGCTTTGGAACTCATCAAGACAGCAGTGCCTAAATTTACATTCTGAAGGCTTCTTTGTGCTGACTTACGCATGCTGAAGGATAGTAGCTCTCAAGAGTGGGAAAATGGAACATTAGCTAGGGGGCTAGCCTGGGCTTTGGAGACCAACGTTCCATTCTCTGCTCCACCACAGATTTCTTGTGTGACCTTATGCAAGTCACTTAGGGCTAGATTTTTAAACTAGTTAGGCTGCTTGACATTTCTGAAATCCCATTATGCACTTCTCTGCACCTGTAGGCTCCTAAATAGCTTTAATAATCTGTCAGTTTCCCGTTTGCATAACAGGGACAGTAACTTCCTTTACCTCAGAGGGGTGTTGTGAGAGTAACTCCATTAAAAGTAGTGAGGAGTTCAGATACTATGGTAACAGTGTGCTTTTTAAGTAGCTGGTTAGTTGGGCTTCAATATAGACTTGCCATATGCTATCATGTGATGTTTAATAATGGACATAATGAGCCAGATACTCAGAATAAACTGGCAGAGCTCTGATGACTTCAGTGGAGTTATGCCACTTTACAAGAGCTGAGGATCTGGGCTAATAACTTCCAGATGAGCAGAAGTCTTTGCAATTTGCCATGTATCTGGAGTTCTGTGTTCTACCACTCATTTCCCTATTACTGTATGTACTAACCACGTGGAAACAGTCACTTTGGCACTTTAAAATGACTGTACATTAAAAATAATATTTTAATGCTGAACTATTTGGGGACCATACAGTTTTATCTGAATGGTAGAACCAGAGCATATAAAATGATTAATGCTGTGTCAGTGGACATCACATTACCATTTACTAGCTAACCACTTCTTTTAAAGCTGTGCTTTGAGAATCAGATCCAACTTCTATTCAAGTCAATGAGCGTTGGACGCGGCTCAAACAGGAGGAATTCCTAATTACTTAAAAGTATGGCTTCTGCTTCTATTGTGTTCAGCAACATTACTCACATTATGCAATAATATATGGATTTTTTTCACTAGCATTTGTTTTGATTTTGTTTGTTCTTATTAGATTTGCAAACAACAATACTGGAAGATTTGATTTTACTTCTTTCCCCACAAACAATTGGCTAAACAATTTTAAAATGTCAGTTGTTTCTCAGAGAATAAAAACAAAATAAGACAGCACACAAGAGAGAAATAACGTATGCAAGAAAGGATGAAAGGAAAGAAACTTAAGATGAAACCAGCATTTTAAAATGAAACTCTTATAGCTCCATATGCAAAATAGAGCAAAATGCTGCCACTACAATATGGGACGTATCTGTTTCTTAAACAATCGATATCTATAGAGTGATGTTTTTCTGTGCATTTAAAAGCTGTGCAAAACACTGTTGCAATAGAGAGTTGCTAGGTTGGATGAAGTCAACAGCCCATCTAGTCTTTGCAGTGTTGTAGACCAGTGGTTCTCAACCAGAGGAACATGTCCCCTAGGAGTACGCAGATGTCTTCCTGGGGTACTTCAACTCATCTAGATATTTGCTTAGTTTTACAACAGGCTACATAACAAGCACCAGTGAAATCAGTACAAACTAAAATTTCATACAGACAATCATTTGTTTATACTGCTCTACTCACTGAAATGTAAGTACAATATTTATATTCCAATTCATTTATTTTATAATTATATGGTAAAAATGAGAAAGTCAGCAATTTTTCAGCAACAGTGTGCTATGACACTTTTGTACTTTTATGTCTGATTTTATAAGCAAGTAGTTTTAAGTGAGTGAAACCTGGGGGTAAGCAAGACAAATCAAACTCCGGAAAGGAGTACAGTAGTGTGGAAAGGTTGAGAGCCACCGTTGTAGACAAAGTAAACTGGGTATGGCCTAGCAAACCATAGGAAAATGGGAATATAACATGGAAAGTGGCTATACTATGGTAGGCTGAGGTTTTGATGTACCTGGGCGGGGGCGGGGAAAGGGGCTAGGCACACATGACCAGATTTACAAAGGGATTTAGGTGCCTAAGCTGCAGATGGATGCCTAGATGGATTTTCAAAAGCACTTAAGTGAGTAAGGCACTGAACTCCCCTTGAAATTAATAGGATTTTGGCACCTAACCCAATTTAGGTGCTTTTGAAAAAATCCCAGTAGGTGCCTATCTGGATCTTTAGGTTCATAAATACCTTTGAAAATCTGGCCCTCAGTTCCCATTCAGTGGGAGTTAGGGCCCACATAAGCTAAATGCACCTCTTTAGTTTCACATAAGCCCTCAAAATAAGGCTTATATGGCACTTGGGAAAAGTTCAGTCTTCAGGGCTTACAGCTTCTCTACGTTGCAGGCAGTAAAAGCAGACAAGATCACCAACACTTGATCAGGTGTGCTAATGACATCCCATCCAGTAGATGGCAGTATTTGGGGAAGAGAGACAAACCATATTATTATATAAGCAATCACAAATAAAAGCAGAGGGACTATGCATAAATGGTTATGCCTAGTGTCCCTAGAGGGCTTTAAAGTCATCTTCCATGTGATGACATGTTCACACTAGCTTACGTTAGTTAGAGGCAATCATTGCCTTATCATTTGCAAGAGCTCCAGAGTTCCTGCTCCTGAAGTACCTATCTGTGAGAAAGGGAACACCAATGAGCGGTATTGTGAGACAAACCAGAAGTTGCTACTGAACTGGGACTTCTCATGATATAGTTCCTAGCTACTTGACTCACTTGCTCCAATTAGGGTGACCACCCATCCCTAATTGGGCAGGAGAGTCCCGAAATGTAGATTTCAAGTCCCGGTCCCAGACTGAATGACTCTGGGACAACATTTGTCCTGGATTCCCCTCGACACAATTCAAATTTACTGCTTAGCAACGGTCAAACCATAGCAACTACAATGCAATGCAAAGCCTCGCTACTACTGCATCATTCACAGTGCTTACACAGCCACAGAATGACTGACACATGGTTTAGCCAATCTAAGACATAACTTATCGCCCCACTATCACCTGATTTGTTACACTTCTTACGTGTTCCCCAATGGCTAAAACTAATGTGCTTTGGTGATGCAGTCCAGTGAAGAACAAGACACATTGGTAAGTTGATATTTAATTTTTAATGACCATTATTAGCATCTTGGACGGGACTGTACTTGGGGCAGCTAGCCCCTCCTTCCACCATGGCAACAGTATTTTTTAGCATGCTAACTCAATCAGCACTAGTGCAAGTGTGTCTCCTTGAGCAGGGAGTCATACCCCGAGACCGAAGTGTAGACATACCTTCGGGCAGGCACACTCTACTGCTGCTATTTTGTTTCATAGGATCCAGATTTTCTGAATTGCAGAAGAGCAACTGGAAGTGTAAAACCATGTGCCCATCGAGTTACCAGAGTTATAAATGCAGTCATCACAAGGAGCATGCATATGGACTGCTAGATGTCTGATTAAGTATGTGCACAGACCTGGTAAAGGCATGTGCAGACTAGACATGCCTTTTTTGAGGGCACCATGCTGAAAACCTGGATCTTGGGTGCTTTTGATGGAGAGTATCCGAGAAAAAAAAAATGGCTCAGAAGACGTATCTGATGTGGTAGTGTTAAGTGCTGACCTGCATCTGGCTGAGGAAACCAGAGATGCCTGTGGAAGTGGGACCCTGTGTAGTTGCTGTTTATAACTCTGGCTGTCAGCGTGAAGCAGAGCTGTGTTACTAAGTAAATAGCCCATGGCCGCAGCAGGCCCGAGAGTTGACACACTGCCTCGCCATGAAAAATGCCAGAAGGAAATGTGTGAAGAATGTTAATGGTCATGGTGTTCAGGTAGCAGTATCCCAATTGTGTGTTAGTTATCCTGCAGTGAGATGACATCTGTATCCAGCATGTCGAGGCAGAACTATGTCGCTGTCCAGGCAGAGTTGGTTTTCCCGGTGCAAATCAGAGAGGCATGCAAGAAAGCCCAGCACAGCCCATTTATTAACCCACTGCCCCAGAAAGCTCGATTTTAGAATTACAGCGTAAATTGAATCAAGGGGTTTTATTTGCAGCATTTGTTTATAGAAAATTGATAACAGTCTGCAACACAGGATTATCTCAGATACACAAACTCCCCATTTGTTCTAAATTACTATAAATAAAATGGAAGGAAATAACAAAAAATAACAAACCCCAACCCAAACAACAACAAAACACCCAACAACAAACCCCTGTTTTCTTAGGACACATTTAATTCATTTCTTTCCCTCTCATTTATCAAATGGTTTAACGTTTGTTTCTTTCGGACGTTTCAGTTACCAGACTCTTCATGGTCTAATGTGAAACAGCCCCAGGTATAAATGATATGCCTTTGTTTTTGAACCATGAAACTGAGCTAGCTGCTCATGTGATCTTAATTGTTCTTGTTGACTTTCTTGTGTGAAGGAGATTGAAATAAATTGCAATAAACTAAGGTTACAGTTCTCCTGCCTTTCTAGTCGCATGGCTTGCTGGTGTACCAAAGAGAGGAGAAGAACTGATTCCCTGGTTCAACGAGTTTACAGTCTAAGGGATTAACCCTGCAAGTGCTGGGCACTCCAAGGTGAGTAGCCACCTGGCTTTAGTGAGAATGCTCAGCTCTTTGCAGCTAGACAGACAGCAATTCATGCACGATAGACAACCAGGGTCTGGTCCTATCCTGGATTTCAGTGAATCTTTATACTTCTTATATCACCCTTTCTAGCTAAAGTGGACTAAAAAGGTGAGGGTTGGGCAGGCAACCCACTGTGTGTGTGTGGAGGGGGAGGCTTACGGGAGGAGTGGGCCTAATCAGCCAACTTCAACGTAGAGCCAGAGTGGGGGAAAGGGTCAGGCAACTACTTACTGAAGAGCGCCAAGAAGATTCAGGGCCAGCTGGCTCTCTCTCAAGATACTGAAGGTGAAGCTAGGGAGTAGACTTCAGTTTCCTGAATATATTGCCCAGAAGGCAACAAAAGATAGTAAAGGGGCCAGATCTCTACTGAGCAGAGTGAAGCTGTGGAGAAGACAGTGACTCAATCCTGAGCCCTGGCTTGCTGAAAGGATTGTGAACTTGGAACTTTTCGCTGACTCGGTGCAGTGCCAGGTGGGGGTTGAAAAATCAAAGCCAGTTGTGATTCAACTCCAAAAGCCCCTTGGAACCATGCACACCTGTGATGCACAGCTCCTGAACAAGATAAAAGCATTAACAGGCTTTTTTAATCGGTATTTTATTTCCACTGGGTCCACCGCAGAAGGGAAGTGTGTTAACTCCACAGGAATGAAGCCAGAATTCAACACCTTCTGGTGTCAATTTATCAAGTCATGGGTCAACTGAGGGTCAAGCTGTGCACTATTTTAAAGGTGCTGCAAATTACATGCCAGACCAAACTGAGGAGTTTTCATTCTTACATACAAAAATCTTTCCTTACGCAAGTCTGATCAAAAGCTAATAAACCATTCAATGCTAAAAGCCCTGGACCAGATTCTAAGGTCCTTCATCAGTTTATATTCGGTCCTTAGGCAAAGATCCTATGGGACTTGAGGATTTGGCTCTTTATTTAGGCGGTGGGGAATGGGAGATAAGAGATTTAGAAGAGGCCATGGATCCGATGCTAAGTCAGGCTTACAGGGATTTAAAGGTACTTACAGAAAGCAGCACAGGATTCCCCAGTAGAAAGGAATCCTCAGCTGGTCTGGCCCAGTTAGATCATGACTGGGGGATGATATCTCCAGAGTTATAATCCTGGTTCTTCCACTGATTCACTGTGGGGGCTTGAGGAAGTCATTTAGTTTCTCGGAGCATGAGTTTCCCCAGCTGTTAAATGGTATAAACTGTATAAATTCCTCTTTCCCCCACACCCATCAATCAACCACCACTTTGTGTTTTCAGGCAGGCTGGGGTCTTTTCTCGAGGTGAAAGCCCTCAGCCCTCACCCTGCTGAGGACTCTATGGAGAAAATCCTCCCAACACCACTATAAAAGACCTAAGATGGGGTGGCAGCAGGGAGGAGGAGGACACTCATAGCCCTGTGCTAGAGTGGCATTGGTGGAGTGCCCAAAGCAGCTGGTTTCATATATGGAACCATTCACACCTCTTGGAGGTATTGTTTCAAGCTCTCTGCACACTCAAGCACTGGTTACACTTGGATCACATTCTGAAGCTTTTCTTTACAATAATGAAGGCTAGAAACTTGTTATAGTATGAAACCTGAGATTTCGGTCTCATCATGCGAATTCAGGAACAGGGTCCCTAGGCACTGGCTGAAAGAGACGTGAAGAAGAAGATTGTGGCAGGGCATAAATTAATTACCGTAGAGTACTCTGGAGATATAAAGAACTATTTAATTATTATTTCAAAGGAAACTCTGCTGAATCTTGACTGCTGTTTCACCTCTACTGCCCCATCGCAAACCTGGGCATAACTTGGGATCTCGTGCCAACGTAGAATCAAACGTTGTTGAAAAACACCTGAAAGCTAACTAAGACAGACATCTGTGCTCTTTTTTTAGGGGTGCCAAGTCCCTGTCAGCCACTCAAGTCAATGTGCTGGAGCAATGCAAGCCTTAAAAAACAATTTGAATCACCATGATCTGGAGAGGTTAAAACAAGAGACTATAAAATATTACCTAATTAAATAGACTAATATTTATGACCTTGCGAGAGGAAGGACAAGGTAAGTACTTTGGGGCATCTAGATACTGTAGGAAAGAAAGAACAGTGGGTGATAGTTTTGTGGGAAATGGCAGCTCACTCTAAATTACAGGAGGAAGTTAACGGTCAAGTTACCATGTCAAAATCCAAGAGTATCAAAGCACTTCTGCCTCTTGTAAAGGACTGGAGAAGGACCATGCCACTTTCACCAGCCGACCATCCGCTCTGGTTGCTTTAGAGCAGCCTAACAGTGAATTAATTAAAAAACAACAAAGAATGGCTAAAAAGTCCAATTTACAGGGTGGTCATCAAGTCTTCAGCTGAATTTAATTTATATGAAGGTCAAAATCTCTACAGCACTTAATGCCACACAAATCAACAAGTCTAACACTGAACAGCAGGCAGAAAACAGCCAAAATCTAGGCACAGTTACTTAGATTTTACTTAGATTTACAATTAGTACATAACAAAAATGCACCTCTCTTAGTCGCTAGGCATCTTTGCCAAAAATGAAAGATATTATCCAACACAAAAATAAACTTAACATCTGCTGCTCACCCTCAAGCCAAAACCCAACCCCCAATCACAATAAACTGTAGCTTTTGTGAAAGATGCTACAGACTGTCTACAGAAGCCCTCTGTGCTCGGAACACCTAGATTATAAACATTGCAAGATTCCCAATATTCTGTCATCAAAGTGTGCCACTCTCCCAAAACACTTCACATGAGACTGTAGTCCTGTTTCCACTACCTATGCAATCCGGGGCCTTTTTGTTGAGACCACCGCAACCATCACCAACGGCCACTGTGCTATTGTTTTTTGTCTCTTAGACTCATTTGCCATAAATTAGAGAAAAGTCATCATATGGGAATGATTTGTGTGGTCACTCTGATCTAGATTCGAACCAGTGACTTAGAGGTTAATTGTTCCATAACCCACGGCTGTTCTCCAAAGCTACCTTCACAAGCTACTTTTAGTGGCAACATGGGTTAAGCCTAGTGCCATTATATGAGATATCACTGAGCATACTGTATGGCTCAGACTGCCGCCAACAAAAAGAAAAGTAAGAACTGACAGCAACTGCAAAACAAACAACTTGCAGTTAGATTTAAGACTATGATATCCTTAGTAGGGCAGGTCATGCTCTGTAGCTGTTTTGTAACATAGCAGTCTCCCAGAATTCACAAGTTGGGTTCTTATTCAGTTAAGTTTGAACATACCAAAGTGAATAATTACATTTTATTCCAGTTTTATAAATATTTACAATCAGGGAAGTGCATTCTAGACAAACATTTAGTTCTTACTCTAGCTTTATTATGCAAACCCAACTTTTATAGTTAGAATGCAAAACTTTTAAAGATTCCTTCTTTAAAAATGTTAAATAACCATAATTTTACAGTTATCAGAGTAGCAGCCGTGTTAGTCTGTATTCGCAAAAAGAAAAGGAGTGATTTTACAGTTAATACATTTTAAATTTGTAATTAGAAAAGCTTTTACGATTAAATTGTATTTCAAAATGAAACTAGAAAACAGCAAGACTGTTTTAAATGATGCATTTTATTGTCTCAGAGCAAGTTTTAAAATAATTTACATGGTTTCTTTAATTGTTGAGTTGCTGGCCTGTTTATTTTGTCTCATCCTGGGAACAGATCTCAATGTCTCCACTGAATTTTTCCATAAATATAAATCAAGTGTGTTACAGTCTGGTTCCCTTTAAATCCAGCAAATCCAAACTTTACAGCTTCACTCATCTGTCTTTATGCTCTGGATGCAAGGAGTTTGGGGCAGAATTTAACCAGAAAACCAAACTGCAATAAAAATCCCAATTATGAAAGGCAGATTTCTCATGTGCTTAAAGCTAAGCGCAGAGTTAACACCCCCTGAAGCCAATGGGACTACTCACATGTTGAAGTAGAAAGGTCAGTTTTTTTATAAAATCTTTGCCATTAAGTGAACACATGTAGCTTCTCCGAGAGGGTTAGAGAATCCAAAGAGAAATGAAATTAGAAGAAAGAGGAATAACCTGGTAACATTTGAGAATTATGCATTTTCCAAGACTAGGTAAACAGGTTAAGACCCTGATCCTGCAATCTGCTTTCCTCTTCCTCCATCTGGGAACATTTCACCCAAGCAAACTCTTTTCCGGTCCGGAATATAGCAGAGGTTTCCAACATCCAGACCCTCTAGGAGGAGAATAATAATACCTAGCTTTTATACACTGCTTTTCATCAGTAGGTCATAAAGCGCTTTGTAAAGGAGGTCAATAGCACCAGCCCCATTTTACAGGTGGCTAAACTGAAGCACAGAAAGGGGCAGTGACTTGCCAGAGGTCACTCAGTAGCTGAGCCAGGAAAAGAGGAGAACTGTTCCCACCCACTTCCTGGAAGCTGGCCTGATTTCCTGTGCCACGGCAGCCGCTCCAGGCCTTCCTCCCACTCTCACCTCCACGAGATATCATGGGGGTGGAAATGTACATCAGCCCCATGCCCAGTATTTCCATTGAGGGGGCACTAGCCCCCTTCTACCCCCGGGTTCTGCTGCCTCCACTTGGAAGAATAAAAAAAATCTGGTATATCAACATTCATCTATTGAAAGAACAGAGACAGATGGAGGAAAATGTTTGTCCCGACCACAAATGGTGATGACAAGATCTGAACATAATATGCCTGCGGACACTTCTAAAACATGCTGGTCAGTTTTAGAAAGAGGATGGCCCTCTGGCTAGAGTGTTTCTGCAAGGATTGGGAACATGTTGGAATTCAGCTGGCAGAGCGAGTGAACTGAGAGAACCACAATCAAGTAGGAAGCAAGATTAATGGCAAATAGAAGAGTGCAGGGAACTATTCTGCCAGTAATAGTTCAAATGACAGTAATGTGGATAACAGGGTCTCGGTAACATTATCCCATTAAAACTGTTGGAAGGAGCACAAATTTGCACTGAACCGTTTGGAGGGGTTAAATCTAATTTTGTTTTACAGCTGCAATAAAGTGTGTTGCAAACCCTGGATGCAATAATTATGGGATGTCAGAAGTGAGTCTGTTTTAACATAATCAGAATTAGGGATGCTCTGCCCTGAACTGCTAGGCTTGTCTCATGTATTCTGATTTATTCTGATTTCTGTTCAGATGAGGGCTGTCAATTGCAATTAACTCAAGCAATTAACGTAAAACAAATTAACTAGATTAAAAGATTAGTCGTGATTAATCACAGTTTTAATCACACTGATAAACAATAATAGAATACCAATTTAAATTTATTATAAAAATGTTTGGATTTTTTTTACATTTCAGTTACAACATAGAATGCAAAGTATACCATGCTCACTTTATATTATTTTTGATTAAATATTTGCACTGTAAAAAAAGTTAAAGAAATAGTATTTCTCACCTCATACAAGTACTGAAGTGTGATCTCTATCATGAAAGTGCAATTTGCAAATATAGAATTATTTTCTTTTACATAACTGCAGCCAAAAAGAAAACGTAAAACTTTAGAGCCTACAAGTCCACTTAGTCCTACTTCTTGTTCAGCCAATTGAAAAGACAAACAAGTTTGTGTGCATTTACGGGGCATGAAACTGCCTGCTTCTTATTTACAATGACATCTGAAAGTGAGAACAGGTGTTCGCGTGGCAGTGTTGTGGGTGGTGTTGCAAAGTATTTAGGTGCCAGATATGCTAAACAGTGGTATGCCCCTTCATTCTTCAACTTGTAGATTGCATCTTTTTAAAAATCTTGTTTAGAGTGCAAACATTTGCAATCAAAAATAATAATTAGGGCTGTCAATTAATCACAGCTAATGCATGTGATTAACTTTTAAAAAATTAACAGTTTTTTAAAAACCAGCATTAATCACACACAAGGGTACCGTGCTCAGCGGGGTGCTGTTGCGTGCCTCTGGAGCAGGGGTGCCTCTCCTCCCAATGCTCTGCTCTATTGCTGTCTCCCCCTGCACATGGAGCCACCCCTGGCCAAGCTGCTTTGGACTGGGAGCCAGCACAGAGAGGGGCTGCGGGGGCTAACGTCAGGGTGTTCCCCTTCCCCCGCCCACGTACCCAGTCACCACTGAGCTGGGGTCGGGCAACACAGCGGGAGCCTGTCTGCGGCTGCTGGCTCAGCAGTGAGTGCTGCCCACAGCAGCTGCTGCTGGCTGAAAAAGCATTCAGGCCTCTGGTGCTCTGCTTAAAGAGACAGCACTTCCCCTCCCCCCCCAACACACACACATTTGCCAGTAAGGAGCTCAGGATTCGGGCTTGTCACAAGTGATTTTTGAATTTATTCGTGGAAAAATACAGACCTTCCCGGGCAGATTTCCCAAAGAGCTGAGCTATCCAACAGCTCCCACTGAAAGTAATGGCAAAATGGAAGAGTGGAAACTGTTGGCTGCTGAGCTCTTTTGAAAATCTGGCCTGAAACCCATGTGATTGTTACATGCATTTCAGAAACTCTGAGAGACCCTCATGCCTGTTTCCATTTGATGGTCATTAAAGGTCATACTTTGCCTTTAGGCACAGCCATGATCAAGTGGTGTGGTGTGTAAGCAGTACCACTCAGGAGACAATGGGACTCAGACACACCCTCAGAAGTACAATTCCCTCCCTCCCTCCCTATTTTTCCTTTTCTCCAAGGAGACCATTTACACTTGGCCGCTATGAGCAACATTTTACTCCGCTCTGCACTAGCTCAGCTGTGCTGGCCAGTGAGTTGGGAGAAAAGGAAGCCCTGGCTCCACCCATTCCTGTCCATTCTCTGTCCCCTTGTACTGGGAAAGGAGGAAGCACCTACTTTCCTCAGCATGTCTGGGCCCAAATCCATGCAGCTTGTGCAAGAACATAAAAGAGCAGGGGAGAATTCTTATTGCCCCACCGTCCCATACGCAAGCACATCATGCAGCTCATAATCAAGCCCTAAGGAAACTATCAGTACACAGGTTTCAGAGTAGCAGCCATGTTAGTCTGTATCGGCAAAAAGAACAGTCCTTATGGCACCTTAGAGACTAACCAATTTATTAGAGCATAAAGCTTTCGTGGGCTACATGTTTCCCCATGTTAAGTATCCTCACACCTTCTTGTCAACTGTCTAAATGGGGCATCTTGATTATCACTACAGAAGTTTTTTTCTCCTGCTGATAACAGCTCATCTTAATTAGCCTCTTACGGTTTGTATGGCAACTTCCACCTTCTCTGTATGTATATATCTCTATTTCTATCTATCTATCTATATCGTCTTACTATACGTTCCATTCTATGCATCCGATGAAGTGGGCTGTAGCCCACGAAAGCTTATGCTCTAATAAATCTGTTAGTCTCTAAGGTGCCACAAGTACTCCTGTTCTTTTTATCAGTACACAGGCATCTAATAGCATCAATTCAGTCAGAGCTTCTGGTGCATCATCATTACCAGAAGGATCACTATCAGTGGTGATAGTGTTAGAGTTGGCATCAAATTCCAACCCAACAGCTGTATATGGACTATTAGGAAGAACTAGAAACTGCTCAGCTCAGCTCTCTAGTGCATTTCAATACCATAATATTCCTAAACTTACCTTGTCTCCAGTTCTGACTATGAAAACCACAATAATGTCAGAATTTGCTCCCTAAGAATCTAATCTTAACCTTAAAAACCTCATTCATCTCTTCTACGTATAATTCACAGGTAGAGCTACATTTTAAAACATGTTGCATGATTTTGTGGGGCTGAAAAGTGGCCTTAGATCAGAAAGTTTTACAATTTCTTTCAAAATTTTCTCTTTGTTTAAAAAAAGAATTGTCCTTTTTTGGTTTATAATTTTTCCTTCCCCCCTCTTCTTTTTCCTCATTTTTTCACCAGCAAATTGGAAAAAAGAAAGCTGGGGTGAAGTGGAGAGAAAAAAGGGAGACAAAAGGAAACCTGAAACATTTCAAAAATGAAAATACGTGAAAAAAAGTTTGCAAAATATGTTGAATGAAAAATCATTCCTTTTTGAATCCTGCAGAGTGAAAAGGACTGACATTTCCAAAAATTTTCACAAAAAATGTTCTCTTTTTGTACCAAGTTTTAGTCACAAGGAACTTTGACACAGACCCGTTTAGCTGCCATGGCAATATATGCTGTAGAAATGATTAAAAATAACTAACAAGTAGGAGTGTGCAACCAGAAGTACGCAATCAGGCAGCAGCAGAGACAATGACAACAACGAACAACAACAAAAAGGGCAAATATAGTACAGTACTGTATTAAATGTAAACTACAAAAAACAAATAAAGGGAAAGCAGCATTTTTCTTCTGCACAGAAAAGTTTCAAAACTGTATTAAGTCAGTCAATGTTCAGTTGTAAACTTTTGAAATAACCACATTGTTTTGTTCAAAGTTACAAACATTCCAGAGTTACTGAACAACCTCAATTCCCAATGTGTTCATAACTCTGAGGTTCCACTGTACTGTGATGCTGGCAAACCAGGTGCCAACTCCCGGCAAGGCTCTAGGCCTCAGCCAAGCACTGACAAATTAATTGCTGGAAACCAGTCTATTTCACCTGTGTGTTAGCGTGGTTAAGATGGCAATTGAAGATTTAACAATATGTTTAGACATTATGAAATGCCTGTAAGATGCTGCATGTAGTAATCCCATTTCTATCTTTATCATATGCTAATATATCTTTATCCCATTTATACAATAATATAATATTATAATAAAGGTATGAATGGGATTATATTATATAATCCCATTTATATCTTTATAATGTGCTAATATTAAAGTTTTTGCTTTATAACTGTAAAAATGTTTGTTCTAAACCTGTGAACTTGTCAGGAGGGATTGTCTCCTGCTTACCGGAAGGCTATCAAAACTAAATGGGCCACTGTGGGACATTACAATACAAAGACTTTGTTCATTGCCCAACGCACCCATGAAGAGGCTACCTGCAAAAGGGCTTATCCCATCAGCCTGAATACCGGAAGAAGGAAAGAAAAATAGCTGACAAGAAGATATTTAATCTCTTTTGCTGTTTGGACTTTCACAGGGCTGGAGCTATGACACAGAAGCAGAGATCCCCAGGGTCAACCTGGGCTAGCCCTAAAAGATATTCAGAGATGACACATTACCACAGCTCTAAGAAAAGGAGTACTTGTGGCACCTTAGAGACTAACCAATACTCCTTTTCTTTTTGCGAATATAGACTAACACGGCTGTTACTCTGAAACCTACCACAGCTCTGTCATCTTTTAAAACCATAGACTGTAACTCACTTGTGTGCATACGTTTGCCTGCTTTAACCCTGTAATGACTCTCTCATTTCTTTTCTTAGTTAATAAATCCTTAGTTTACTATAGGACTGGCTCCAAATGTTGTCTTTAGTGTGAGGTCTAAGATGCAAATTGACCTGAGGTAAGTGACTGGTCTCTTGGGACTGGGAGCAACCTGAATATTTTGTGGCCTTTGATGTATTGTAACCAACTATCACTAAGTCCAGCTTGTGTGGGTGGCAAGATAGACTGGAATGTCCAAGCGGACTGTCTGACTCCATGGTAAGATTGCTATAGTGCTTTTACTGGGTTGGTGAAATCTAATTATAGAGCACACAACCACTTTGGCATCTCTGCCCTAATTCTTTGCAGTCTGCCTTGAGGTTGGCCCTCACAGTCATGAACCACTCCAGACAGCGTGACAATTACATTTCCCTATTTTCTCAGAATATGCACACTTGAGAGCTGTACAGAAAGTCTTATTTTTAACTCATGCACTCAGTAAGCATGCAGTGGAGAATTCCTCCTGGGAAATGTTTCTGCAGCTTGCTCTATAAAAAGCATTATTTACTTTTCAATAACAAGAGTGGCCTTTATTAAATTACTTTTCACTTCATGCCCTGACACTCAGTGATGGGTATGGCAAATAACCTTAAGAAAATGGAATAGTCCTTTTATATTTTGCTGGTTTGAAATCCTTTTTCATTTGGCGTAGGGGAAATTCAATTAGGCACCATTGCTATCCAAATGTAACAATTCTTCTGAACCCAGAAGCGTGCTGCCTCCAACTGCCATTTACATATATATGTTACTTGGCTTTTAAAGAGGATTTAGTATTAAAAGAAATCTAATGTTTTTGCTTTTACACACACGGTTAGGTTTTAGTTTCTTGGACCTACCTGATACCATTGAGTTTTAAGCAGATCTTTTTGGAGTTCCATTTAAAACACAATAGCATGATATTATAGAGACAAGGTGCATGACGTAATATCTTTTATTGGACTAACTTCTGTTGGTGAGAGAGAAACTTTCAAGCTTACACAGAGCTCACCACACAAAGGGTCAGTTTTCTCCAGCATACAACTGACATCCTCCAGAAACTCTGCAATATTAACTATCTCCTTCAGAACTCTACCCTTGCCACAGTGGATGTCACCTTCCTGTACACCAATACCTCTCAAGACGGCATGGCTGCCTGCCCCAAATATCTACAAGACAATGGACAACACTCAGATATCCTCCCCAAATATATCGCCAAGCTCATCCATCTCATCCTCACCCATAACAGCTTTACATTCAACAACAAACACTTTGTCCAAACCATGGGAACTGCCATGGGTACTAGGGTGCCTCCCCAGGAGGCCAACCTCGTGAGGAGCCACCTCAAAGAAGAATTTCTGGAAAAATGCACCATGAAATCAGTGATATACCTGAGAAAAGTCAATGATACATTCATCCTCTGGACAGATGGCCTAAATTGCCTCATAGATGTCCACCACAACTTCAACAACCAACACCCATTGATTGATCTCTTTCTAGAACACTCCCACACTGGCACCAACTTCTTTGATACCATGATCAGCTTCAACAATGGAATCACACAAACAACTATATACAAGAAACTCATGGATCGCCACACTTACCTCCACAGATCCAGTAACCAGCCTAGACACCAAAGAAAGTGTTTACAGATTAAACTGACATAGAACACATCAAAACAAATCACAAATTGATAGGTTCTGATACTTTTACTCATATCAGGCCAAATCTTCAGCTACGGAAAATGGTCATAGGACCATTGATTTCAATGGCGCCTTGCCAATTTTCACTATCTGAGGATCTGGCTCAGTAAGTAGTACCTTACTCCATGAGTAGTACGAGTGAAATGAATGGGACTATTTGTGGAGTGAGGTATTGTTCAAATATGAGAGAAAAACTGGCCCAGAATTAATATTAATCTTTTATTTATTTGAAGTAAAAATATCCACACCATATTCCCTGAAGATCTTCCTTGGACATAATTCAAGAACCAAAACAATTCCTACATTTCACGAATGAATTCAGATTCTTTGCCTCTGAATTCTGAACTACTGTGGGTGTAAAGATACAACCTTCCCTTCTACCCAGGACTGGAGACTAGTCCATAAATACTGGAATCTATCATGACAGAGGACTATTTGGTGACAAATCGGTGATGTAGCCCAGTAGGGGAAGGCTCTTAAAGGATGAATGAAAAAGAACAGCGGAGCAATAATCATTAAATATATATCCACACTGCATGGTGAGGAGTCAAAATAAACTTCTCCATGAGTGCAATGGTCCAAATTCTGATGACTGTGTACACTGAAATATATCTGGAGAAACTCCACTAATTTCAAAGCTATGTCTTCATTGCTAAGAACAGCGTATACGAGATAGATTTTACAAACAGGTGCCAGCTTAGTCCAGACAAGGCACTATAGTTCTTATCTCTGTGTATCAGATGAAGTGAGCTGTAGCTCACGAAAGCTTATGCTCAAATAAATTTGTTAGTCTCTAAGGTGCCACAACTACTCCTTTTCTTTTCGCAAATACAGACTAACACAGCTGCTACTCTGAAACCTGCCCCAGAGAGTTACTGTATAAATGTCTGTTAATACAATGAACAAAAACACAAATAGCCCGTGTATTATTCTTTGACCTTCAGTAGAGATTGTCTGTGTTCTTCGGCAGCCAATAAAGAAACCGTCTGCTATACACCAGTTCAGGGATAATTATTGACTCGGAGGAGGATGTAGATACATTTTTATGTTTTAGTGAGTCTCCTTATTGCCTGTAGGGAGACTTCATGCATCCTGTGTCAGGCCCCAGATTATTAAAGTCTTGAAAGTGATTTAAAGGCTGGACAGACACCGTTTGATTAATAGCTTGATTTTTAATAACATGTATGTTGTGAATTGCTAGTCTTTCACAGAGTTAACTACAATTTTTTCAGTCATTTCCTCATTTCTGCAGAGAGCCTCAACAGTCCTCCTCACATACCTATTGACATGTGTCTCCCATATGTACGGTAGGGCTTTCTTTCTTTTAGTTTTATTTAAAGGTGATTGCTGCAATATTTTGTTTTGCTCACACCACTCTCTCAAAAACAGAACAATAGGATCACAGTCGCCCTGACGTCTTTTTTAAACTGAAGTGTGTATACTGACTTGATTGACATAATGATAGTGTGAGGAAACATTTAATGTGAGTTCAGATTCAGGTAACTCCTCCTCCTTCCCCCCTCCCCCAAGAGTGGAACATACATGATGTTTGCTGCCATCATATTGTTCACTTTGCTTGCGGATTCTAAGCCTATCTCCACCCTGTCTCAGTCTTGTCTATTGAGAGTGTAAGCTCTTTGGAGCAGGGACCCGCTACTACTCTGAATTTGTACAGTGCCTAACACAAGGGGGCCCATTATACACATGATCGATAATAATAAAAGATTCTGATCACCCACATGAAAGTTTGGATCTGAACTTTTCATTTTGGCCAACTTTGCTTCAGCATATTGAACTGATCTATCATGCCATTTATAATGACTTTCTGTTCCTTGTAGGACTCTTATTTGCCAGCTGGTGTCTAGGTTTAAGCAATTAGCATCCAAGAGGGCAATCGTTATCTGGCCTCCAATTGCCAAGAAGTGTTGGCACTTCTGCCTGATAATGTTGGATTATTGAAGGCCATTAACACATCCTTACTGCCATTCAAACAAACACTTTTCATATAGCTTTCAGCATAATCCCAAGAATAGACCAGAACAAAGTGTATCAGTGGCTGAAAACACTGAGAGCGCCTATGTGGTCAGCAAGACACAATGACCAGGCTCATTGTACGGTAAACATGACTTGGATGTGCAGAGCTGAAAAGATGTTTAATTTTGTTGGTCCAACAATTATCCTGATTTCAAGAAAGGGCCTTATTTCCTATTTAGTCCTATAGCTTTTGAGGGCACTTTCTATAGAACTTTTTATTGGTTTTGTCTCAATTATTGTCTATAGAAATTTATGATAAAGGTTCCCCTTTTCCAGAACTATTTGCTGTAACTATTTCACTTGCTTAGAACATGAAAGATTTTGTTCATTTTATTATTATTCTAGGTCTAGCTTCTCCCCTTCCCCCTGAGTGCCTCCCGCCTGCCGGCGGCCCTGCCAAATCAGCTCCTCCCCCTCCCTGCCAGTGTCTCCCGCCTGTTCTGCGGTATTCCGGAGGTGCTAGAAGAGAGGGGGAGAAGCAGAGACAGGGTGCACTCAGGGGAGGGGGTGGGGGTGGAGCCTTGGGGAAGGGATGGAGTGGGGGCAGGGCCTGGGGCTGAGTGGGGCTTAAGCACCCCCGGGCAAAGGGAAAAGCCAGTGCCCGTGGTTTTTCAGCCAGCAGACAGAGGCACAGGCTGAAGCTGTGGCAGCACTGGTGCTCCCACAGGGCCTTGGCAACGTGCCTCACAAGGCAGTTCTACTCAGGAAAGTATGTTGTCTCAGGCCCCGAAAGATTCCCATTCACTTCAATGGTCCGCAGATCAAGTCCTCCTTGGTTTCCCATATCGAATATGCTCAGTACAAATACAAAATTGCCCTGACCATAGAGTATCAGGGTTGGAAGGGACCTCAGAAGGTCATCTAGTCCAACCCCCTGCTTAAAGCAGGACCAATCCCCAATTTTTGCCCCTCAAGGATTGAACTCACAACCCTGGGTTTAGCAGGCCAATGCTCAAACCACTGAGCTATCCCCTGCCCCCCATGTCCACTTACAAATCCAATCTGAGATCTGACAATCAAGCTGAGCTCATTATCATGCATCACTATCAGTAATAAAGGCTCTGACAGTTAAACGAGCGATTCCTGTGCAGTGCCCTTTTCTATCAATGTGTTAGCATGTGTAATTAATTGGCATTTACTAAATGATTCTATGGGATGCAAAGGTGGCTGATCTCACCTCATCTTCCAGCAAGGGTTTAGCTGCTTCTAGAAGTGAAAGGATAATTCAATCTCCAGTCTAATTTAATTCTTAGCCTCCCTTCTCAAACTGCAAAACAAGGTGCAAGTTGTGGCGGTGGGCTTTGTAATGTGGACATATGTCCAACTAGGAACCAATTTACTTCATACAGGTCACTTGACGAACTTGGCTCTGAAAACAACCATAGCCCTGATCCTACAAACATTTATG